CATTCAGCCAAACTTTCTACTATAGCCGAAGACGACCCTACCTCTCCTTGCTTAACTCCTGAGCAGACTTTGTCAATCCTGTGATATTAATCACAAACTATATCTACTACTTCATCTACGGGGCCTATAAGCTATGAACCCCCGCCACCAGTTGCTCAATGAACTTCCTATTTTGGAACTGTAGGGGTACTGGGGCAAGAGCCCTCCCGGGTCTTATCAAGGAGATCCATAGGAAATATTGTATTAATTTTACTGCTTTATTGGAACCAAATGCAGTGGTGAACAGCGATGAAACGCTGTAAAGCCTGGGTTTTGAAAAGCTAGATATTGTGGACTCTGGGGTAGGAGAGGCGGTATCTGGTTCGCTTGGAATGAAGACGGTATAGTTACAACTATTCTGGGGAAATCGAACCAATTTATTCATGCCCTTATTGAGAAGGGGAACGAGAAGCTGTTTATTACCTCGGTCTATGCTAGGACAAATCCAAATTTGAGACGTCACCTCTGGGCTTCTCTTGAAGAACTTCGCCCTAGTGATGAGTGGCCTTGAATCATAGGGGGTGACTTTAATGCCACACTCTATCAAAATGAACGGACTTCTACAGCACATCATGCCACCCCAGTGGACAAACATTTTCTGACTTGGTTTGAGGCTATGGAGTGCTCAATGACTTGGGTTGTAGTGGTCCTTTCTATACTTGGAAAAGGGAGGGCTGTGAAAGTTGTTTAGACCGTATTATCTCTAACAATCGGTTCTTGGAGGTTTTCAACTCTGCTACTGTGAAGCACCTCCCTTGGTTCAAATCAGATCATCGACCAATTCTTCTCACTACTACACCAGAGAGACCGAAGTCTCTTATTGAAAGGCCCTTCCGTTTTGTGGCTTCATGGGTGTTGCATGAAGACTTTTCCCGTATGGTCATTGAGGCTTGGGACAAAAATAAAGAGTGGGAAGATAATGTTAATAATTTTATTACGGATGCCCACCAGCTGGAGTTATGAAACTTATGGCCATCTAGGAAGGAAAAGATCTCGTCTCATGGCGCGTCTTGATGGCATCACTAGAGTTCAGAACCATTTGGGGTCCTCCTCCTCTCTTGACTCTCTTCAGAGACGCCTTTGGCTAGAATTGGAAGACATTCTTATACAGGAGGAAATACTTTGGGCTCAAAAAGCTAAAAATTCTTGGTACTCCTTGGGAGACAAAAATACCAATATTTCCATGCAAGAGCCAATGGCAGAAGGAAAAGAAATAAAATCGAAGCGATTAAAAACAACGATGAAGAGTGGATTGATGATCCCTAGACTATCAAATCCTTGGCCACTAATTTTTCATTAATCTTTTCACGGAAGATGGACAAAGCAGCAACCTTTTGATTGATAGTTTTCACTTACCCGGAGCTCGATCATCTATTGCTCAGTTCGCTAAATAACGACATCTCTGATGAGGAAATAAAGGATGCTATTTTTTGCAATGGGAGCTCTTAAGTCACCTGGTCTAGATAGATTAAATGCCCTCTTCTACCAAAACTAGTGGGACACCATCAGGGACTCTGTAACTAAAGTAGTCAAACAATGCTTTGCGAACCCTCGCAGCATTCAGAGGCTGAATCATACCTTCATTATACTCATTCCAAAAGGGAGCACCCGAAAACCATTCGGGATTTTCGTCCTATTAGTCTCTGTAATATTATTTATAAATTAATTACAAAAATTATTACTAATAGATTGAAACCTTGCATGTCCCAGGTAGTTTCACCCCAAACCAATGCAGCTTCGTTCCGGGGCGAAACAGTTCAGATAATATAATTATTGCTCAAGAGGTGATCCATTCTATGCGGAACATACAGGGTAGGAAGGGATTCATGGCGATCAAAATTGATTTGGAGAAAGCTTTATGATCGTGTTCGCTGGGAGTTCATTCTCAACTTCCTAGAAGAGTTAAATATCCCGCTTTCCATGAGAGAAGTAATTCGATACTGCATCACAACCTTCAATGCAAATCCTTTGGGAAGGTAGCAAAGCTGAGGAATTTCAGCCTTCTCGTGGCATTCGGCAGGGAGACCCCATTTCTCCTTATCTCTTTGTAATTATTATGGAAAAACTTGCCACATTATACAGAAGAAAGTAGCTGATAAAGCATGGAAGCATTAGGCTGGGTAAGAATGGCCCTCCTATATCTCACTTATTCTTTGCTAATGACTTGATGCTTTTTGCAGAAGCAAGCATGGACCAAGTAGAGGTATCCTGAGCTGTCTTGATGTTTTTTGTATTGCTTCGGGCCAGAAGGTTAATGCCAACAAAATGAGGATTTTCTTCTCAAGGAACATTAACCACAACAAATCCAACCAGTTGAGCGAAGCCTTGGGCTTTACTAAAACGGACAACCTTGGAAGATATCTTGGTGTGACTCTACATCATAATCGCATCACTTCTGGGACGTATCATTTTATTCTTGACAAAATACGCAACAGATTGAACACTGGCTTACATCTCGACTCTCTCTTACGGGCGGGACACCTTGGTGAAATCAGTCATCACTGCAATTCCGTCATAACCTATGCAAACAGTGAACCTTCCTGCAACTATCTGCGACAATATTGAAAGAAGTCCTGCGACTTCCTGTGGGGGTCTTCTGAGGAAAAACGAAAGATGCATCCTATTGCTTGGGAAACAGTCTGTAAAGAAAAAAGAGCTGGAGGCCTTGGGATGAGACATTTGAAGCAGCAAAACCACGCCTTCATGATGAAACTAGGCTGGGGCTTAGTGAATAACCATGATTTGCTATGGGTTAAGGTTATGAGAGGCAAGTACGGCTGTGGCAACGACCTTCTCCCAACCATCAACTCCAAGAAAACTGGCTCTAATATTTAGAGTGGTATTAAACGGACCTGGAATAGGGTGGAAGAAGGGATACAGTTTCTGAAAGATAGAAATGGGGAGGATCGGGCTCGCTGGAAATGGAGCAGAAGTGGTGTCTTTTCAGCTAAGTCTGCTTATAATAGCTTAAACTCGGCTGTCAGCAGTTTTTCAAGGTGTTGGACTGATATATGGAAACTCCGTATCCCTCAAAGATGCAAGACTTTCGCGTGGTTGATGTCTCATGATCACCTTATCACGAATGATTTCAAGTTTAGACGTCACCTACATTCTAACGGCATTTGTGATAGATGTAAACTTCATCCGGAGGATGCGATCCATGCACTCAGAGATTGTATATACGTTAAGTTGATATGGATGTCGGCTATCTGTCTCTCCATGCATGATCGATTCTTCTCAGGGTCTCTCGAAAGTTGGGTTCGACTAAACCTCAAAAATAAACTGAGAGGGGGTGGGTGTTACTGGAAGGGGCTATTCATCATCATTTGTTGGCTTATATGGCGTAATCGGAATGAAGTAATCCATGCAAATGGGGAAGAGAGGACTAAGAGAATTTATGATCATGCTAAGGTTATCTTGGATAGCATGTCCCAAGCCTCCAACAAGTTGAGAGGTACAAACCTGAATGCCAATCTCCGACAGCCCCTCACTGCCCCTGTTTCGGATGTGGCCAGAAAAACTATCATCGAGGTCAATGGGGCCTTCGCTTACACGAGAAACATAGCTGCGTGCGGTGGTGTCATTATGGACGGTATGAGACAAATCCTGGAAGGCTTCCTCTCAAGTCATCAAGCTGGAGACCCACTCTCCGCGGAGCTCTGGGGCTGTTTGCTCGGACTAAGGCGAGCTTGGGATGGTGGCTTTCGCGATGTTATACTCAGATCCGACTCGTAGGAGGCACTGGCGTTAATTAGAGGAAACGTTCCTGACTTGCATAAAGACTGGAACATCATCATGGAGATTAAAACAATGATGGATAGAGACTAGAAAGTTGAATGCCAATACATAGATAGGGAGGACAATAATATGGCGGATATGCTTGCCAAACGCGCTCTCTCGGAAAATCCTGGATTTCAACTCCTTGGACTTGATACTGTGCTCACCTTACTCCCATCTGATGGGATCGGCTAATTGCCTCTGCGTTTAGTTTTCCTTTCAGTTTGTTTTTTTGTTTCCTTTGTATCAAAAAAAAAATTATGGTTGAGGGAGTATCCATAAGGGTAATTTAGATAAAATTAATACATATGAAAAAGAGGTCTTATATCTAGAACTAAAATCAACTTCATAATTAAGTCATATATTAAAGACTGGAGAAGTATGTTGGTCTTTGACTGGAATCTTCAATTACAGTTCGTTCGTGTCATGAGAGCATAATCATATGGCCAAGCTTGGTTTGTCAGAGTCTGAAACCTTTGAACATTGTCCCTGGCATCTTAGGACTCGTTTGTTACGGGAGAGTGGGAATAATTTCCCCTGGCAATTAATTTTTCTATCCTTTTGGTATAAGTTAATTATTTAGTTTTGACTATTGGTTATTAACAACTTTTATATAAGCATCGACAACATTTTAATAGGTATTACTTTTCAATTACGAAATAACAAAACCATTTTTTTAGGTTATTGGCAATTTATGCATGGATATTGATTACATTTTAATAGGTATTAAATAATAAATTTTGACTAAAAAATAACAACATCACAACACACTATAAACTTTTGAATCGAGATTAACAAGTTGTTTTTTTCCCCCTAACATCAAAACTTAAGAATGAGAAATATGAATAGAGAAAAGAAGGTAAAATACCTATTAAATTTTAAAATAATAAATAGGTAATTTGGATAGATTTTGAGTAGTAAAAATTATTACAACTATAGTTAAAACTATTATAAGAGTAGTGAGTATAAATTATTTTTTTTTTTTTTTTTAAGAATTTGATAGGTATTTTTCTGTCGGTTATGTGCTTCGAAATGTGGTTGACTCTGAGGTCCTTCCTGGGTTAGGCCACCGAGTCACTCCGAGTTGGGCCTCTCCAATAGCGGGCCCACGAGTGGCTGGCCCCTTGACTCCGCGACCTCGCTGTGCTTCTCGAACGGATTTTATTTTGACAAATTTTCCACTCTGAATTTCCAAAGACAGCGAAACAAAGCGAGTCACTCAAGGACAAAAAGTGTCTGTTCTTCTTGTTAATTCAACAAATCCGCAAAATAACTCACATAAAATTTCTCTCGTCCATGATCCAGAATTGCTCGTTCATTCGAATTTCAGATGAAGGCTCCTCCGGAAAGGACTAAAGTGGTTATTAGGCATTTGCCTCCGTCTCTGGTTCAGTCCGATCTCCTCCAACAAATTGATGATCGCTTTGCTGGTCGGTTTAATTGGTTCTCTTTTCGTCCCGGAAAGAACAGGTTAGATTTTTTTACCCCCCTTCCATAAAGAAACTTTTCTGTTTTCATGTTGTTTTATTTTTCACGTTCTTTTTCGTTTTTCATGTCTTCTCTGTCACCCATAGACATCTGAATCCATTAAATCTCCAAAACTAATTTCTGGTTAGTGTGTTTTCCTTGAAAATACCTTTTTTAATGCATTTTGTTGTCTGATGTCATTTTGGGGTGTGGAGCCCATGACCTCCTGTCTGTTGACAATTTCTTCATCAGAAGAAAACGGTAGTTGTTGAATATATTCGCAATAGGTTTCTGTATGGGTAAAGGGAGACAACTGTGAAAAACGTCCCAGAGGCAGCAAACCTCACGAGGAGCTAAGTGAAGTACGACATTCGGATTTCTTTTTTTTTGGGTGGGGGGATGAGAATAACTTAAGAATGTCGAACAGCTCATTTTGTATATTCATCATACACACATTAACTGTTCGAGAATGACATTAGCATGATCTAGTGGATGTTACAGACTTCCCAGATGAATTATGATTATAAGCTATGCTTTATATATTCAATTTCACTGCCAAGTAAATGTTGAAGCCCCTGAAACAAAACATTTTATGCGTTAATGTTTTATTTACTCTGTTGTTAGACTGTTGCTATAGTTCTTTGGTTATTTCTTTCGAAGTCTGTTGATCTGTTTGAAGTCTCAGTCATTAGAAACTAATCAATAATTAATTGATATTTCAAATGGCATTACCTATTTGGAAATCTTGGTGCCGAATTCCTTTTTGGGACCTCTAATCCCAACCATGGGTTGTTTGCACGACAAAACATGCAATACCTGGCACCCAGTTTTTATGCAGAACAGGGTTTTCTCATACTAGAAGTAATAAGTTGCTTATGCAAACCATCAAAAAGAGTACGCGAGCCATCTAGGAGAGTCTACAGATGAGATCATTCCTTCAAACAAGAAAGACACAATGTCTGCCAGAGTTTTTTGTTTGGTCATGAGCGAGAGTAGCATATTCTGATGAAAGAAGATGGTGAGGGTAAGATGAGTTATCGCCTATTGGATAGTGGGAGGAAGATAATAATTAGATTAAAAACTAAGAAGATGGTAAAGGGAGATCGTGATTTCAATTTTGATCTTTGAATCTTAACTTTTGAAAGAGGAGATAAATTTACCAGATGACGGGGGAGGGGATTGGTAGATTGGGAATTTATGTAATAATTTATTGTATTTTATTTATGAAAATAGCAGAAAGAAGTATCTATCTTGTGCTTGCGTAATATATGATAAGTCACATTGTCTGCAAATAATGAATAGTGTGGCTTGGGGCCCAACAGTCTAGTTAATGTTATATTTTGCTTCAAAAATACGTTATAGCTATAACAACACTCATGTTTATTCTTTTTGGTCCCATATAAGCCTTCTGTTGAGAATTAGAAAGTAGATAATTAGGAAGAATAGTGGAGGATTTGGTATATTATTTCATGATAATTTTAATTCTTAAATATATTATGATATACGCCTACGTTGCATTTTCTGCCGTACTTTTTTCAGTTGTTTATTATTTTAGCTGTATTAAATATATTGTCTCCTATTCATTTGCTTGCATTTCATAAGCCAAAAGACCATATAAACTAAACCCTGCCCTTCATTCTGCAAAATGAATAGACGGGGATTTCATATTCTTGTGATAACCGTTCTATGGATTGTCGTGAATCATGTATTAGCGACAGTGCAGTGCTGATTTTAAGCGTCCCTATCAGAATGTTATTTCTTTTATAAAAAAAAAGTCAAGATATGCCAAATTAGCTTGTATCATCTTGTCATTACTTAGACTCAGATCTCTCTTGCCCCTTCACTACCTGCTGAAGAACTTTGAATACAAGGTCTCATCTAGTATGAACAAACTGAGGTAAAGCTAACATCTTAACACATGTCTGTCTAGTTTGGCGAAACAGAGATAAACAAGGTAACTAACATTTTATTTAAACAAAGGGCAAATGGGAGTCAGTTTGAAATTGTTACGAGTCTTGTGCATTAGATGGTGTTTGAAGAAGGAGTCGTACTGTTATTGGCTCATAAAAAGAGCAATTCGATGGGTTTTTTTTTTTTTCAATAGTATATAATGTGAACAATTTAATTGTCCATCACTGGTGTTAACCATTGAAATACAAAGACGCACAGAAGATGTCTGGAGTTGTGCAACAGCAATGCAAGAGCTTTTTTATCTGAAGCCCTCTGACAATCTCTTAAGAGAATTGGCAAATATGAGCGAAATGTAGCCAGTTAGTGGAGTGATTGTCAGATGAACAACCCAAGGAAGGAGAAGAAATGTTCTATCTTTATCGAATTTAAATTCACTCTTTCTGTTTCAAGCCTATATTTTAGATATAAAACCGAAGGAAGGAGAGTAAATGTTCTATCTTTATCAAATTTAAATTCATTCTTTCATTTTCAAGCCTATATATTAGATATAAAGGTCGGTAGAAGAACTGATTCTGAGACTTTGTCTAAGTCTAGAAGTGGTAATCAAGATAATTTTAGCAAAGAGTGGCATAAAGGGGAAAGACCTATAAAGTTAGCAAGACGTTTAGAGAACTAACTGGTGATCTTCTTCTAATGTAGTTTTCACGGTACAGATATTTCAACTGTGACATATGCAATTGTATTGACTTCTGTATTAATTTTTTGTTGAGATATTAGGTTACAGTGATTTTATAATTAAGTAGGTGGTCATTCATTTATTGGCAGGCCTTTTGTTTCCCTTCACTTTTGACCAAACTAGAACATCTGGGGATCCTTGGGTAATAAAAATGTTGGACACTATTCCTAGTAGAATTGGTACGAAAGGCTTGGATATCTGCCCAGTGCCTACCTTCTGAACCTTTTATCTCTAAAAAGTACACATATTTTGGATGTTCTGCGTCTGCTGACTGCCTTATATTTTTCTTTTCTTATAACGCAACTAAGACCTTAAGGATTTTTAACATATGGAGCTTTGTGTTGATTAACATTTGCAGTTACAAGCATCAGAAGTATTCCCGTGCATACATAAACTTCAATTGTGCCGAAGATGTTTTTGAGTTTGCTGAATTCTTTGATGGACATGTCTTTGTTAATGAGAAAGGTAATTTATTTGAGCGCAAAACTGCCATATGCTTATTTACCTTTGGAGTGGATTGCATTGTCTCATTATGCATATAGAACTGAGCCGGTCCAATTAATTTTGACACAAAGCTGTTGTTACGGTGTTCTTAATTTTAATTGACAACTCCTAGATGCCATATTTGACTTGGTTCAAAGTACTTAACAGTTATTCTGCTGTTATGCCTTCTTGTCATTTTTACTTATTGTCGAATGTTTTCATGCTGTGGATGTCTGATCCATTTTCAGGTGCCCAACACAAGGCCATTGTTGAATATGCACCTTTCCAGCGTGTTCCAAAGTTGAGTACCAAAAAGGATGGTCGTGAAGGGACTATATATAAAGGTGTTACTTTCGTTATGATTTTAAGTTATTTAATGTGGGAATTCTAATGCTAGTCAGACTTAGAGTGCATACCCTTTTAATGATGGTAACGACTACTTTCTTTGAAACAAGAACAGATCCAGACTACCTTGAGTTTCTCAAAGTTATTGCAAAACCTCCTGAGCATCTTCCTAGTGCGGAAATACAGTTGGAAAGAAAAGAAGCTGAGCAAGCTGGTTAGTTATCAATTTATTGTGGCATCCACCAATAAATACACAGACTTATATTTACCTCAACTTTTACCTTTTTTTATAAGGTTCTTGTTAGAAGGATTGTGATAAAGGTAGTTAGAAAAGAGCATTGCCCCTGAGGAAGTATCTCGTGATGACAGATTGTTGTGGCATTGTGTCTAATATTTGTCTCTTCCTCTCTAGGGGTTGCCAAGGAAGCACCAATTGTCACTCCATTGATGGAATATATTCGTCAAAAGCGTGCAGTTGGGAATGGCGCACAGGTAATGATTCTGGGAGGCACATGGTATAATTAAGGTGTCATACATATTTGTATAATTGAAATTAAATGTGACCCTGATGAATTTCCTTTTCGCAAAAGTCTGGCCAAAGGATCTTCTCTTGGTGGGATGCATTGTGTGTGGGGTCCTGTTTTTTCCACAGAAGATGAAATTTATCTATACAAATGATTTTTTTTTTTTTTTTTGCCCCCATGAGTTGTGACATTGTATTAGCATGGCTTTTGGGAATAAAGGAAACAATGATGTTGAGAAACAGAAGATATGCAAATGAAGAGAATGTGATATACTCTTGGAAAAAGATTTATAAAGCTGAAAATCCCTGTTATAACTGCTTATCTTTGAGCAGCCCCTGACAGAAGTATGGCTGCATATCTAATAAGGTTGATTATTCTAGTATTGTTTATCATTTATTATGCTGCATCACTATTCTAGGCTGTAGCTGGGTCTCTACCTATTTTTGGTTCAAATTATACATAATAAACAAGATTTTCATTGTAACTTGGATATAACATTTATTCTTATGTTGCTTTTACTGATTTATGATAGGCTTCACCAGTTGTGACAAAAATTAGCAGAAGAGCCAGGGCGGCTTCATCCAGCAAGCCTGCCTCAGAGAATACTAGACGAGAGAAGAAAAAGGTGGGACTTTTCAATATAATGCATGTGTGGTATTATTGGGTTCATTGCAGGAAAAATTGGATGAAATATGTTAAATACCTTACACCAAAGATATTACAGATTGTGCCTCTTTATGTCATTGCACAATTTATTGATTATTTTGAGAGATCCATTTACACTTAACAATTGCTTTTTCTGAAGAAAATCTGATGGACTTCCCTAGAAGACTAGCATTACTTAAGTAGATGGACAATGTTAACTGCTGCTCTAACTGGGAATCAGAGTGAGGAAGGTAGCTTGCTAAACTATAGTAGCAGAAATGAAAATAAGATAGAGTAGGGACCATCATTGGCTTCTGAGAGGCCATCATCTCTTCCAAGTTTGTGCAAATTCTCCTTAATCCTTTCACTACCCAGGCCCTGATAAAATCCTCAAACCTTCATACTCAGTTTATTTTACACCTCATGACCGTAAGTAGTTAGTGGATGTGTTCCCTGATTGGACCCTCTGCTCAGCTCATTACAAGCTTCCTCAGCCACAAACACTTCTTTTCTTTCAGTCCTCTCACAGGCCAGCTAGTGGTCTATCAATATCTAAGTAAGGTTTATGTTAGTTATGAGGTTTATCATCAGGATAAAGCAACTTCTCTTTTAGAAGCGGTTCTTATTCTTGAAAAGCTTTTCTGTGCCCAGCGAAGTTTGGCCATAAGGACCTAGGACAAATAGGACTCAGAAATAGGTAGCATTGACAACAAATCCGGAACTGCCAGATCTCTAATGGAATGATAAATTCACGAAAGTAACATGATAAACTTGTCATAATAAATGTGATTACGTGCAATATATGAAAAAATAATTTAGAAATTTAATCATTGTATATTCAATCGTCTGTTGCGTAGTTGCTTTATGGATTTTAATTTTAAATTTAAGCTAATAGGTTTTAGATATATTTAGTCATTGGCTATTGTTTAGATTGTTTCTTTAATTTATTTCTGAAGGAAAACGCACTATGTATGCTTGCAAAGAATGGTGGATCAACTGACTCCGTTTTTGAGTTTCAGTATGTTCAGAAGGACAATGCCAAAAGTAGTAATCGGAAAGACAAATCAAGCTCTACTGGGGCTCCCCGGCGACAAGATCAACCATCTGCATCTAGTTCAAAAGCAATATCTGAAATTGGAGCTGGTAATATAATTTCTTTAATTGGAGATGTTGCGGAAATCCAATAATTAATATGTGAAGATTTACATTTATTACAGATTTTATAGAATTTTATTTTTTCTCATTGTATCTCTCTGTATCCCTATTTTTTGGGCCCAGATTGATTAGCCTCCGCTGTAGTATTTCTCTGTTTATAGAGACTCACGAAATGAGTTATAGAAATGTTACTCATTGTTTTAATATGAGTCCATTATCAAATGCCAATTCTGTTATCAGTTTTGTCTTGTAATAGTTGTCTCTCTTTGAAACAAATGTGCTTAGATCCCTGTTCTTGGCTCATTTATTCCTAGATTGTTGCCTCCAACTTATCTTATTTAAAGCTCATGAAATTTATTTTGCAAAAGGGTCTTCCTCTCCTCTTTAATAGAGATTGTTGGAGAGTTGGAGCATATAACAAAAGCTAATCATGGATGTGGACTTTTAACTAGCAACTTGCTCAAGCTTGAGTGGAAATAATCAACAGCCAGACACCCCCTGAATGAAAAGAGAGTTGAAATAGTTGTTGTCATGGTATTAGAGCCTCGATAACCAATTGACTAGGAGTTTGATGTTTGTTGAGCTCCCATTCTTAGGTGAAAGTAGGTTTCCAACACAGTGATTGGTGGGCTTGTCCATCAATATTTAGCCCAGAGTGTTTTTGTGCAGGAGTATGTAACAGCAAATATAATAAAAATATTAATAGTCTGTCGGTGTCAAGTTGCTGTGATTTACTTGCTTCTTCTTTTTCCTCCTCTTTTGTGATTTATTTTCTTGCTTCAAATGGACTGGATTTTGTGCGTTGGAATTTCTAAGTTGCAGAACATAACTTGGCTTGATCCAATAAGGTATGTCCGAACATGATGGACTATTAGGTTAATCTGCATGGGACTTATGGTCAAGTGCAAAGCCTGTCTGTGCGCATCCCTACTACCTTAATCTCCATCAATTGACCCCTCTGGATAGTTGATGCTCTGACAGCTACACTTTTGACACTTCCTGAACTTCTTCTCATGTCAAAAACCTCCACCATTGAGAAATCTCCGTAAGCAGCTCTCTCCAAAACCATCAACCGTCAGGCTCCAATGCTAAATGATGGTTACTTAAGTGCGATGTGAAACCCTGCTTCCCTAAGATCTATGCGATGGGACCTGGACACTTTATATCACCTAGTCTCAATAAGATAAACAGTGCACATTGGTAATTGAGTTACTTATTTATCATAAGATAATTCAGCCACTACATGTTCTCAAGGGATTCACCATTTGTAATATGCAATGGGATTGAACATCTTTTCTTTGTTGATTGCTTTCTTATTTAGGACTTCATATGTTTTCCTTTTTGTAAAGACCATCCTTCTTCTTCTTCTTCCTCTTCACGTGCTTGTGTAAAGATTCCTTTTATCCATTAAAAAAACCTCATGTTTGATGAATTTGCAGCGCATGGATTTGAAGGACCTATCTCAGCCATCCCTCTGCCTGCTGGCTCTGGAAAGAAAAAAATCCTGCTGGTTAAAGGGAAAGAACGAGAAATTCTCAATGTAGGTTTTTTTTTTTTTTAAGAAGATTTTTCCTCAATTCTAATTAGTGTCTTTTTATATGATTTTTCTGCTAATAAAATTTTCTTGTGTTAAGATAAATAATGGAAGTTTGATTTTATGTGTGTTGAATTTACGTTTATTTTCTCATCTTTGAGAAATTGTGATTTTATGTATTTTTGTGGTACCCTCTTAGGCTGCCGAGAGTATGGCACAACAGCAAAGTGTACAATCTGGAAATCCTGCTGTTCCCACTGCTTCAAAGCAAAACCAGAGACGCGAAGCTAGTGGAAGGTTGATTAGGAGCATACTTCTAAATAACGAAGCTCGTCAAAGCCAGTCTGCAACTTCTGCTCAACAGAAAGTTCAGATCTTGAGTTCTGAGAATGGTAAGCGGCCACCTCGGAATATAAGTGCACGGTCTGGGACAAATGGTCTAGTCTCCAATCATGATGCAGGCCAAGTTAATTCTGAGGGTGATTCTAAAAGGCTGTTGGATGAGAAGTTCTTAAAAAGGGATCTGCATGGTTTGGGCAGCGGTGAAAAAGCAGAAAGACGTGCTAGAAACAAGGAAAGACCTGATCGTGTTGTTTGGACTCCTCTTCGTCGATCTGATGTTTCTCACCCTGTTAACGAGCACTCAACATCCTCCGTGTCTCAATCTACCCTGTCACATCCTGAATCGGTTGAAGGTACGCCCATTGAGTTGGCTTTAAATTGTTTTTCATTGCAAAGACAACATATTTTGCTTGGCCAGTCAAGTTTGTTTTCATATTCCTTGCTTAAATTTCAATTTAAAGCCGACAGATTTCATGTCATTATCTGCTGTAATTTTCCAGTGCCTGCAGGAGAAATGAGAGATGATGTCTTTTCTGGAAACAGAAAGGGGGAATACTCAGCCTCTGCTGGTGGTCGTAATAGTTCCTTTCTTGAGAATGGTTGGTGTTTTTTATGATTGATTTCATCAATATACCTTAGAATATACATGCCTTGATTTCTGGTTCAATGTTTCAACTAAACTCCAGGTTCTCAAAGACATTTTGTTCGTCGTGGAGCTGCCCATACAGTGAAGGATGATGCTGCAGTCAGCTTAAGTGAAGCAAAACCTTCTAAGAAAGTTGTAAGTGGGCATGGGGCTCATGAGGTATGTATTCTATACATAGTAATCAGAATCTTAGTATTCAAGATTCAAATCTTATAATTTGTTATCAACCACAAAGTCAATGATATGAAACATTGGTTGAATTGAAAGAAGCTTTGAATTGTGCTTTTCACAATTTGAATTGTACAATTTATGGTGAGTCACGTAACCAACAATATTAATTAATAGCAGAGTTGGTCATGAATCGTTCAATCCAAGCCAATAGAACATATAACTTTTCTTTATTTTGATACGGAGAACATATAACTTTTCTGACCAGGAATATGTGAGAATAATAAATTGCATGACTGTGTTGTATTGTTGTTTAGTGTTGTTATGCCTCAAACGAAGAAAGACATTGTTTCGAGAATTAATTATTTACAATTTGTAACCTATTTATGATTTACGTTTAATTTAATCAACTCTTGGATTCAATTTACTATCGTGGGTATTTTATGCATATTATAAAGATATACTTACATGGAAATTGAATCTTATGAATTGATGTGTTCACTGATTCATTATTCTAAAATATTTTTCCCCCCAATTCATGGCAATATCACGACTTGGCTACAATGATTTTGTATGCTGATACAAATACAACTTTTGGTGGTGGTGTTGTAATTATCATTATTGTTGTTACTGCCTCCGTTACATTTTATAAGTTGTTCTTTCAAAAAATGCAAAGACCAAAAGGCAATTAAATTCACTTGAGAATCTTATCTTTTTAATTTCTTCAAGGAGTAGAAACATCCAAAAGTACCCCTCATTTGACACTAACCCCTAACGCACACTTTCTCTCCAGTAATTAAATTATAAAGGGTATTTTAGGGTAAGGTTCATTAATGCATCATTGTTTTTTGTTTTTTTGTTTTTTTGGCAAAACATCTTATATTATGAAAAGTGAAATAATGAAGTATTATTCTTAATATTGTTGTGACCATTATCAATGTTATTTTTTATTACATCTTTTCATGGACCGTCACTTAAGTGCTGATTTTTTCTGCAGAAGCAAGTGTGGATTCAGAAATCTTCTTCAGGGTCATAAAATATCTAAAGGTGGTATGTACAGTATTGTTTGCATCTAGTTTCCTTTCTTGTCCCTTCTATAAAAAAATTGAGGGCTTATTATGTTAGTTGGGTGATTAAGCTGTCACTTTGATTTAAAATTTGTTCTTTCTGAAAATATTATGTAAAATTGGTGGTTTGTAGCAAGATATATGTGAATGTCAGAAATATGGATGACATGCTATAGAATATGTTCAACAAAAAAAAAACTTCAGAATATATTTTGTTTTCTTCATTCCAATAAAACTGTTTTCAACGAAGAAAAATAAATAAATAAAAGCATTGCCTAGGGATAATATATTGTTAGGGTCTGTCAATTATCTGATAGTTAAATAGATTATTTTAACCTTCATAGAACATGTTCAACCTCATTGGCGTAAGAAAATCATGTTTGATCTACTTTTTTGAGTGTTTTTGCTTTTCATTGCATTAGGTTTGCGTGACTGACAGATTACGGACCACTACAACAGCAATAATTCCTCGAAGTTTTGGGGCGGATCATTCCTGCTATGAGCTATGGTCTCCGTTAGGGTCCTGCTACGAGCTATGGTCTCCATTAGGGATCGTCCTTAATGAATTCAGGTCAACCCCAGGCTGGGCTATTTCAAAAGGTATGTGTAAATTATATTTGTGTCTACTTTCAAGGACATGGAAAAGAGCAGTTTCTTTTCTGCTTATGGGCGCGTGTGTGCAAACTCTCACCCTGTCTAGACCAATTGGGCATGTGTAAATCTTTTGACAGAAAGATGATCCAGTTGTTGCCTGATGGAGCCTGCTCATTGAAAGGAATGCCAAATCTATATACCTACCTCAACGACACGATATTCTGCTGGAAAGAGAGTGGTGTATCAATCATGTCTGTTAGATGTTTGTACCATTCGTCTCTTCTAAGTTTTATTGTGTATTTCTGTGGTGCAAAATATTATTTGTGCCTGGGATGTACTGTACAAGTACGTGGAACTTGCCATGGATTAGTGTATTGGGAAGAGTCACAGCATTTTTCTCCCTTCCAATAGACGAGTAGGGGTTGAACAATGATGTGCATTATGGCGTGTTGATGCTTATGATAGGGGAAGCACTTTGGTGTGCCTGTAATTTCGAAGATCAGAAATGAAATATCGATTGGTAGTGTATCTTATGGTTGATTTGCAATTCATGATTGTTGTGAGTTGTCTTTACTATTTTTGGAGTGGCAGCCAAAGAAAAAGCGGATATTACTTAATTTTACAATTTAGATTATTGATAGCACATAAGTTATTGATGAGCGTAAAGATGATAAATGAAAAGGTTTTTGTTGCTGGGTGTTTGGTTTGGGCAAAGAGCACTTTTAAAAAATATTTTTATACAACTCTTACATATTTATTTCAGGGGTTGGTTGGTTTTCTCATAAGCATTTTTAAAAAGTACTTTTATGTAAGTTGAGGTAAAACTTTTAAAATTACTTTTTAAAATTTTAATTCGTTTTTTATTGGAATATTTTTTTAATATACTGTAAAATTATTTTTAAAATTATGGTTTGGTGTTTACATGAAAATTCATTCACACATGCAATATCTTTCTGTTTTTGGTGAAAAGCAATATCTAGTTTTTCTTTGCTTTACTTGAAAATGACATGCAAAGTTGTTGCTGGACATGAAGACCTGTTTAGCCCAACAAAAGTTGGGTAGCTTTAGAACACTTGCAGTCCGAATAGTTTGCAGACTAATTTAAACTGAACTTCAGTCATTACACTGGCTCACAAGGTGGCCTAATTGGCCAAATTTTTTATTGTTTTAATTTTTAAACTTCCGAGTTTCTTTGAAACAAATAAGTTTCGTTGCTGAGTTTATTATAGATCATAGACATAAGTTATAAATAGATATATTTGGATATATATATATATATATATATATATCTCCTTTTAAGGCCCTGTTTGGCAAGCACCCCAAACCATGGTTTGGGAAAAATGCTAGCCAAATAGTCTTTGGAAAATATAAAACCATGGTTTAGGGGCAAACCATGGTTTTGAACCCCCAAACCATGGTTTTATCAGAAGCAACTTTCATTCGCTTCTGGCTCCAATTGCTGAAGGCTGACGATGGGCCCTCCTCACATGACCAAAATTAGCCCCGGCTTCAATTATCTCCTTTGGCTTTCTTCCTCTCGCTTTCAGAGTTCCATTCCAGTCGGCACCTTCAGAGTTCCATTCCAATCGGTCCAAAATAATTGATCTTCCTCTCGCTTTCTTCCCCAGTTGGTCCACTTTCTCTCCTCTGGAGACACTTTCTTCCCCGTCATTCCATTCATTCCCCGTGCACGGTCTTCCTTTCCCCCTTCGCTCTTTCTTCCTTCATAGAACGAGTCGCCGCCCATGAAGAAGTCGCCGTCTAGCCATGGTTTGAAGGTGTCGGTGAGAGAAATCGCAGCTCGGCGGAAGAAGATCACAGCTATCAATTGTGAGTTCCAGCGCTCAGGTTCGCTCTGAAGCATTTGGCTGTGGTCGGTGTTCCCTGGCTCTTTCTCCGGCGCTCAGGTAAGGTGGCTCAGATCCGGCGTTTATCCTCTGCTACTCGATCTCTTCTGTTAATTTCAGTGTCAATTTAGCTCAATTTTCGTTTCAGTATTTGTGGATTCTAGATCATATTATGGTAGATTTTCGTTTATCCGGCACTCAGGCTGTTAATTTGGGTGTTCCCCGGCTCTTCTGTTAATTTCAGTGTTAATTTCAGTAATTGTAAATTTACAACTTGGAAGCCAAAACCAGAGCATCCTCTGTTTCTTCCTCCACGGGCTGCGACTTCGAGTCGACCTTCTTCTGCTTCTGGGTAGATTTTCTTTTGTTAATTACAATCTGGGGTTGAGCCTGATTTTCAGTTGGTTTATCCTTGCCATACGATAGAAATTATTCGGTTGGTTTGAGCCTGATATATGGTATCTTCGGTTGGTTTATAATTTGTGAATTTGTTTTTGGTTCTGAGATCTGTTTATCTAGCTCCACATCTCCTTTACCGGACTCTCATACGCACAAATATAGCAAATGGAAATCTTTGTGTTTAATGTTTGAATCATGATAACAAAAATGTGCATTGAACTTGTCACGGTTTGTCGTCTGACCGTGGTAATTTTTTTTTTTCAGTGCTGGCTTGGGGTGTTTGGTTGGTGTTGGTTTTGCTTGGTTGATAGTTGTCGCTGACGTTCTGCTTCAGTGGTGGGTTGATTTTCATTCGAGGATTCATTTGTGTAGCTTGGTTTATCTGATTTCGGTCAGAGGATTGGTTTTCGATCTATTCAAGTGACTAGTTTTTCCAGAGACATATATTTATGATCCTTATGTTTTATTTTTTGTAATCCTGTTTTGAATAAAATTATAGGATGTTATATTTGTGGTAATTAAAATTAATTAATTTAATTTTTTTTCTAGTCATGAAAGGAATGGGAACATAGTTCCATTTTATGTTGGATTAAAAAAATTAATTACATGTTATAAATACATAGATTGAATTTCTTTTTGTTTTAAATAATAATGAAAGAAAGAAAAATGTTAATATGGTATTCATAGTTGATTTGGGTAACAATAACACTTGTTATTTCAATTGATTTTGAGTTGATTAACCTGTGATGACTGAAGAGCTGTAATTGTGATATAGCATAATGGGTAAGGATACAGTGAAAGCTTCCTGGGACCTATGAACCACAAAAATGTTTCTTGACCTATGCATTGAACTTGTGCAACAAGGGGAAAGAAAAGGTACTAGCTTAACAAAGAAAACTTGGGATATTCTTGGTGATAAGTTTACTGCCAAAACTAGGAGAGTGTATGAAAAATCTCAATTTAAGAATAAATATGATTCCTTACGAAAGGAGTGGCAGACATGGGATAGGCTGCTTCGCGAGACAGGATTGGGATGGGATACTGAAAGGAATATTGTCAATGCAACTGATGATTGGTGGGAGAGGAAAATAAGGGTAATTATTGAACCTTTTGATTTTACATTTTCTCTACTTGTTAATGTTTTGTGCATATTTACTGTTTTTTGAATATTATATGATATTATTGGTGTCTAATGTGCAGGAAGTTTCAAACTATGAAAAATTTAGAGAAAGAGGACTTCAATTTAGGGATCAATTAACTCAACTGTTCGGGAGTGTGGCCGCAACTGGACCACAAGCATGGGCACCTTCTTCCATGACACTTCTAAGTGAAGGAACACCGAATGAAGATTTGGAAGAAGGGTCCGGAGATAGTGATGAAATTTTAGGCGCACCAACTAGTATAAGTGGGGAATTTAACTCAGTGAACTTCAATGATAATAGTGGAGGTAGTGGAGGCAACACTGAATTGAGGCAGGATAACAGTGGTGGGGGTATAAGCAGCGGTAGGAGTCGACCTAGTAGCTCACTGGGGGTCAGAAGGAAGAGTGAAGTCAAGAAGAAACACACATCTCCCTCTATGAAAATAGCGGATGCACTTAGCAAGATTGTTAAAACAAATATTTCTGAGGCTGAGCATGGAAATGAGGTCATTTCATGAGTAGAAGCTAGAAGGTTGGAAGAAGAAGCTAGAAGGTTGAAAGAAGAAGCGCGTGCTTATGAAATTTCAATTAGGGGAGTCCTGTCTCACCTGAAACCAGTTCCTGAAGTTGTCAGTGATCCTGATTTCTTTAGACGGTGCACACAACTCCTTATGGAACGGCCAGAGGCACGGGAAATGGATGCAGCTCTGAAGGATCAGAAGGAACAACTTCTACCTATTTTGGAGTTTTACACTAGGGATTTATGACTTGTTTATTATATTAGACAGTTCCATATGTGTATCGTTTTATGTGACTCATGGGTTGTTATATGAATCAAACAACTCTATAACTTTTATAAATGTTTCGTAATTTCTACGTAAAAATATTAAACTTTATGTGTATGTGCACAAGATAAAACGAATATGGATGCTGAAATTAAACGTGTGGAAGAGCATGCTAAGGGACGAAAAAAAAGGGTTAACAAAGTTGCAGCATTGGTCGGTGCATACGCTACTTTGAACTTGTGTAAAGAGCCTCGGCATACAAGTGCTTATACAGGCTGTTTATGGGTAAGGGATGTTTTAGATGGCAACTCCAATCGTTGTTATAACATGCTTAGGATGGAACGGGGTGTGTTCTTAAATATGGAGGAACAATTGCAACAACATGGTCTAAAAGAAACTAAAAATATAGGGATACATGAATCAGTTGTAATGTTTTTACATACCGTTGGCCATGCACTTAGTAGCAGAATGCAACAAGAAAGATTTCAACATTTAGGGGAGACAATTAGCAAACATTTTCATAATGTCCTAATGGCATGCTGTAAACTTGCCATGTCTAATATCAAACCAAAAGATCCAACATTCCGGCATGTTCATACAAAAATTCGATTTGGTAAATACTGGCCTTCTTTTAAACATGCTATTGGAGCAATTGATGGCACACACGTTTCCTGTGTTGTTAGTGCAATAGATCAAATTAAATTTATCTCTAGAAAAGGAATAGTGTCACAAAATATCATGGTAGTTTGTGATTGGGACATGTGTTTTACTTTTGTCTTGGCTGGATGGGAAGGTAGCGCACATGATGCTCGAATATTTGATCATGCCCTCACAACTCCTTCAATGAACTTTCCCCATCCACCTGAGGGTATTTTTTTATTTCCTACATTTTATTTATCTTTAGCTTAACAATAGAAACATAATTTACAATAATTTCATTTTTTATATAGGAAAATGTTATTTGGTGGATGCTGGATACCCAACACCAAATGAATATCTCGGCCCATACAGACGGGAGCGTTACCATCTGCCTGATTTTCGAAGGACATCTGGGTTTGAAAATGACAATGAGGTCTTTAATTATTTCCATTCAAGTTTAAGGAGTACAATTGAAAGAACTTTCGGAGTTTGGAAAAAAAAGTTCACAATCTTACGAAACATGCCATCCTATAATTATGAAACACAAGTTAAAATCGTTTGTGCAACGATGGTTATACATAATTTTATTAGAACGACAGCTATTACTGATCCTGGATTCGTTCATTTGGAAGAAAAAGGTACTTATGCAGAAGAAGATGATGATGGGGTTGGATTTTCACGTATACATTCATCAATTCAATCTTCATCTTACATGGCTCAGGTTCGTGACAACATA